GTGAGAGAGAAACAGAGAAACATGGATGTGAGAGAGAAACGTCAATTGGTTGCCTCTTATAGGCTCCCTGGCTGGAGACCAAACCCACAATCTAGATATGTGCCCTGATCAGGAGTCAAACCTGTGACCTTTTGGTGTCTGGGACAAGCTTTAACCAACTGAGCCACACCAGCCAGGACCAGAACAATGTTTGAGAAAATATCTGGTCATTGTGGTCCAGCCAAGTTGACACATAAAGTTAATTTCCACAGTAGGTAATACCAAAATTTTATAAATGAAATTTGAAAACTGGCTTCCAGAAAATTTGAATTATCTAGTCAAGGTCACCTTATTATAAGATTAGCTGGAATTAGGACTCAAAACTTCTAAGTCCTAGAACGATCTCTTTCTAATAAACTATGTTTTGTTCTCCAAGGGGAAAAAAAATAACATTGTTTGAGCACCTAATACCCTAATATTTGCCATACTCTGTACTAAATCATTTACATAAGGGGCCATTTAGTAAACTATCATGGTATAGACAAGGAAACAGAATCTTAGAAAGATTCAACTACCCAAAGCAGTAAACAAGTACTGGTTAAGCAAGGACTTGACTCGAGGTGTACATGGTTCTAATACTTTCCACCATCTGGCATTTTTTAATGATGTTTTCCTTGCTATTCGTTTTTAGTTTAGTTTAGTTTTGTTTTGTTTTAATTCGGCAGGATGTGATTTCTCCCAAACATTTTAAGAAATGACCCAATGTCTTCATCCACAAGACCATTTTCTCAGTTGGAAGTGAGTTTTCAAATATTAAATGTGAATGTAAGATGAGGAGATTGATTTTAAAGAAAGATAGGAACTCTTCCACTTCAAAACTAGTGCTGTCCCAAATAGAAACGCTACCCCAGGCAACGATGCACTCATTCCATTACTCAAAACTCCTTTGCGTCTCCTCTTTTGAAATTGCCTTAAGGCCTGTATCACTTTCCTTTCTGAAGTAGTTTTAATGTTGGCAAATGTTCATTGTTTGATTCGAGTTCTGGGAAACAGCCCAAAATCATCTGGTACCAAATCTGGTGAATTAGGTACCTGAACAAGCTAATACAGTTTACATTTTTTAAAAATTGTGATTATAGAAAAACAAGAGTTTTTTTTTTAATAAAGCTGGCAAAGTGACTTCAAAGACGGACGACCCAGTCTCACCTGGGGCATGGACAGCAAAGCTGGAATCACTGTTTAAGTTGGAAAAAGTAGCCCGTCAAGCAGCTGCACAGGATAGACTCTACTGTACTCTGTCTGGCTTATTCTGTTACTTCACGATCACATGCATGTTGCAGTGTTTTTAAAATAATCGATGTGTTTAGGAGTATTTTGGAATAAGATACTCTTACACACTGGTTAGTTTGGGCTGGATAAAGATTTAGACAACAAAGTCAAGAGCTATAATATATTAGCAGTTGCAGCTTAGAGAAAATGATTGAGAATTTTCCATTGTCTTTTGGAATCCTGATAACGCCAAGCGCTAATCAGACGAAGCGTTTTTCTCGGAAATATGTTCTCCATTTTCAATAAGCGCAAGTGAAATGTATGAAAGAAAAGACATCTCTCCCAAAAGCAAATTAGAGAAAATATAGGTCTTGGAGAGTTTAGGAAAGCATGTCTGCCTGCTGCACAGCTGTCTTTTTTAATGTCCCTTCATAATGCCCCTTGTAATCCATATGTGGAAGTCCCCTTAGACTCCACACATAATTAACGCTTGGCAGAAATAAGCCAAAGAAGCCTGAGGCTCTCTTAAATTTCATTTAAGAAATTCAGATTTCCATGAGGGTGATGGGGGGAGGGGAACTTAGGCCCCACTTCTCTCTCAGGATTCCCAGGAGCCGAATTTCACATGAATTTATAAAGATGTCCTCAGCCAGTCAAAAGGCATTTATGGAGCATCTGCGACGTGTAGGCAGTGTGTCTAAAGTGTTGAGGGAGCTGCAAAACGGTGTGAAACAAAGTCCCAAGTCTCATTCATTTTACCGAGGTCACTGTGAGTCCCAAGTAATGTCTACGTATTAAGAGGGGAAGAAGTGACTGAGGGCTTGGAAAGGATACAAAAGGATTGACAGAGAGATGAGGAAGAAACCCTGTTGAAGAATGGTTAGGATGCCGATGGCTAGGGTTGGGAGTAGGCACAGGGTGTCTCAGCCCAGCTATACAAATGGACATTGGGTAGTCAGGATGGTGTGTAGTCCTAGGACATCTTACAACACAGGCCAAGGATGGACCCCTGGGAGGCTGCAGAAAGCCTGACATTCAGCAGACACTTGGGGAGTTGATGACTGTATTTCAGGCACTGTTTTAGGCCCTGGCTGATGATGAGCATCTGAGGGAAATCTTTTGATGGTTCAGTTTTCTCACTGAAGTGAAAGACAAAGCCATCAGCTGAGAGTATGGACTGGGGAGGAAGTGCTGGAGATATTTAACTTGATTTTGAATAGGTAATAGTTGTATATGATATTGAATACAAGCAATGTAAAAGGACAAAAGAAAAATCTCACTTCTGCCTCTGTCCACCAGCTATCTAGTCCCCTTCTTGGGACAAGGGTCTTCTGTTAAGAAAGGCATAAAGGCAGCATGAAGTTCATTAAGAGACTAAGAATTGTTAGGGTACCTAAATTGCTTGATACTGGGCTGTCCACTGACCTTTTGCCCAGAGCATCAATTTATAAATCTGTTCCTGTCTCCATCATCACAAAATTTTACTTTTCTACACATTGCTTCTTTATCTTTATGCTGCTTCTTTACATATTAAAAATATTGTACAGGAGGAGTGGTGGGGAGAAATGCAGACAACAGTATTGAACAACAATAAAATAATTATTTAAAAAATATTGTACCACGCCACTACACCCAACACCTACTATGACCTTTAGGTCACCTTGGGTGCATCCCTCCTGGGATGTGAGGAACCCTTCTGTTTCTGGGCGGGTCCCCTCCTGAGCTGGGCTGTGGCAGGCCCGGAGCTGGGGAAGCATGTGGGTGTGGACTGGTCTCCTCGGGCCAAGTCCAGGTCCCCTCTCACCAACGAGGGCCAGGAGAGGAAGGAAGAGTTCTCTATGTGTTTCTTCGGATCCTTCAAGTACAGATTTCTCCTTGTGGTTACCAGAATGTGCTATGGAAACAGAAAAAGTTAGAAGCCTCCAAACATACACTTATATCTTACACTTTTATCTTGTCCTTATTTAAAAAGGTATTGGGGAGTGTGTGAAGAAACCAGAGGAGGAAGCTGTTAGTTGAAATAAGCTCCACGCACCTCCCTGCAACTTGCTACTTAGAAAAAGAGTCTGGTTTACGTATATATGCTGCCTGATGGGCCACAGAACAGATGTTCTGAAGATTAAAAACAAAACAACACACCCCTCTGGATAGTTTAAACAGGAAAGGATTAAGAAGATTATTGAAAATGATGAAGGGACGGCCCTGGGCCAGATGTTCTTGAACTTTTGTAATTGAAACTCATGGCTAGACATACATTTTCTATTATGACTCAGAATATGCATACATAAATGTATGCACACACATATAGAACTAAAAAACAGCCGCATAAAACAAATTCACCTTTACTAGGGGCAATGCTCTCAAATTTTTTCCTATTCCATTTTATTCTATACTACTCTATTTTTTTTTGCTTATTTGTTTAATTTTTCATGCTTGTGCCAATTCACTAAACAGATTTTACTACCTGTAGAGCAATTCCTCATTGCTCTAGGCTGCGATCGTCCAGGCACAACTCCCAGACCCTAGACCCAGCTCCCTCTGCCTAACCAGGGAGCAGCCTGTTTCCACTGGAGCAGAAGCTGCTGAGTCAGGTGTTCTGTCGGCTCAGGAAGCCACAGCTGAGCCGCTGGCTCCAGAACCAGGCCACCTCCACCACAGACCTGCACCTCTCACTTCAAATGGAAGTCTCTCAAGTTTATCTGATTCTTGAAACCCTACCTGCAATGTTTGTAGCTTTCTAGCCTCCGCAAGCAGGGAGGACTTTAGAATGAGGATAGATGAATGGTGTTGTGCCAGCCAATACTCCCACCAGGCTGTAGGCCACCCTGTTCCCCGGTCTTCACAGTGAGGGATCTGGAGCCCAGGGTGTGCTTGGGGTCCCTGCCACCGTGGGAATACAAGAATTCTGACTCTGACTAAAAATGTTTAAGATTCAATTTTAGGTTTAACTTGAAAATAGTGGCATCACACAAATTTGGGATTTCAAAGAGTTCTGCTCTGCATTCACAGACCATTTGGGAAAGACTTGTCAACTCTATTCAGAGTCTTGTAGTTATAGATGCTGCAATTCATGGTTAATCTGCCCTCAGGGAACTTACAGTCTGATGGGGTGATAAACCAGAGAATCACATGAATAATGCTGCATGAGAAAGATTCAGATGGGCCCAGTCACAGGCTGCTAAGGGGACACTGAGGAGGAAGATTGGAAAGAGACTGTGGAATCACGGAGATTTGGGAGGCGGTGACCCTTGAACTGACTTTTCAAGGACGAGCCAGGAAGAAGAAAGCCAGCACAGAAGCCCCGGTGTGTGAACAGGGTGATGAGCATGAGGCACTCTGGCCTGTTCCACAGATTGGATAAAAGTCATCCTAGGGAACGTGGTGGTGTGTGAAGCTAGAACAACGGGCAGGTTGATCGGGACCACGCCTCCTCCTCTGAGTAAACAGCCAAAACCAACACTCTTGATTCACTTGAATACTACAGGTTTACTGCCTCCTCTTTGCCATTGTTTTATGAGATGTCTAGGGCAGAAGACGTACATTTAATGTTTCTTCCTCATCATTACACCTCCCGTACTCTGTTAATTAAGTTGGGAAGGGGAGCTGGGAGCACAAATCAGGGTCATAATTATGATGCAAATACCACACTAAATGAACACCTGGAAAGGGGTCATTTAAACAGCACTATTAAAGGGAAGTGAATATTTTTAGGGTATTCTAGGGAAACATCTCTATATAAGGTATAAAATTAGGAAAATATGGAACACTTCACGAGTTTGTGTGTCGTCCTTGCACAGGGGTCGTGCTAGCCTTCTCGGTATCGCTCCAATTTTAGTATGTGTGCTGCTGGAGTGAGCACTAAAAGTACTGCTAAAGCATAAATAAATGCCCCATTTGTAATTGTGTCCTTGTTACCAAGAAGATTTCTTCCTATAAATTCATAGTCATCACTTAGCAGAGAGGTGTGTTCTGAGGCCAAACACCTTTGAACATTATAATTTTAGACTGACTCCTGAGCTCCAAACCAAAAGCAGAAACTTTTTGCCAGCTCTGGAATACATAGCAAACAGGGTAATACTCATTTAATTCCTTCACACAGTAATCTGATGGCTAAATATGCTTCAGAGAATCTTTTAGGGCTAACTGGAGAATTAAATCAATCAGAGTGCATAAATTACAAGAAAAGTGCTGTTGGTGTCAATTACCTAAGCTCTGTGGATGTAAGTCTTCTAATTTCCTGTTAAATCAGTAATGTTACCAATTTCACTCTATTATTTTAAATAGGACTGTAGCTGCACTTGCTAGGAGTTGAATGAGGGCAGACACATGTGAATAGTTAATGAGTCTCACCAAGTAATAGCAAGTTGAAAGTGTCAATAACAGTGATATTATAACATGGCTCTCAAAGCTCCAACCTGACATCCACAAGAGGTTTAAATCTGTTTGCTTTTTAATTTGTTCCTCATACTTTCTCTAAATGCGTTTTGTACACAGCAAATGCCAAGTGAATAGAGTGTTCCTACTGCCTTCGGAGTCCCTATCTTCCCCCGAAGATAATGACCCTGAGTTGGTACAGGAAGTCTTGGCTGCACTTTCCCTCGTAATCTACCCACCCCCACTGCTAGAGGCTACATTTCACTGACTCATAATTTCCAAGTATGATCAGCATGCTGACAGGAAAGACAGAGTCACTGGGCAGAGCAGCGGCCCTGGAGAGCTGGCCAAGGCCTATCCAATAACCTCTGCCACCATTCATGGCAAAACAGAAATGAGGACAACAACAGTATCCCAGTATCCTCAAAACCTAGAGTACAAAAGCATCTGAGTGTTAAACCCTTGCAATTTTGCTGCTTCCTCGGGACACCACACACCTTCCATGACTCACCAAACTAAATGGGAGGTATGTGGCTTTCCTTAGCAATTGGCTATCATTCACTTCCCGTTCTCCAAAAATAACAAAATTAGCCAACGACATACATATCACACTGATATTGCAAGAATCAAACTTACTGAAGGCCAAGTTGCAACTGAGGTTTACACAGACTTCAATAAGAGTCTAGGGACATCACGTACTATGGGGTCAGGTTGGGTCTTGCATGAAATGCAGTCCTGTTGTAAAACATTTTTTCAGATGGCACAGAGACGACACTAGTCAGCCAATTCTTGAACAGGAAACAGAACTCTGCCCTTCTACCTTCTTTGGTAAAGTCTCATCTTCTTTGAGTCAAAGAAATTCAACTTCTAAATCACCCCATTTTTCTTCTGTTTGCATGTTCCTGTCTGTGAGTATCTTGCAAATTTAAAGGTAACTGCCATTCTCTAGACCCATTCTCAAGCACAGAATCTTTGGTGAATGGAGGGGAATCCTATGACAAAGAGTAAGTATGAATTAGTCAATTGTGAACCAGCCAGATGAACTAAATGGCTAAATTCTAAATACATTTCAGGAACTGCTAAAGGGTGAAGAGTTCAGGTCAAGTCAGACCTTGAAGTTATATCTTTCACTTGGTCAGTTTGCTACTCGCTCAGCAGACATTTCTCAGAAGCTTCCTTTGGTGCTATGGGAACTAAACGTAAAAACAAATGGATGAATGGAAGCAGAGGGGAAGGAAGGGGAGGAAAGCAGCCCAGATAAACTCCTATATAACGAGTCACTTGTCATTTCACAGAACTGAAGAGCATTAAGAACAAGGAAACTGGCAGGTCTGCCTGCTCGTATTTCCTGGGTTCACGAAAAGCCACAGCAGTCCTGTGTGAGGCTGGTCCGTCCCACACCAGGAGTGAAGACAATAAACTTAGAACTATGATGCTCATTCTGCTGTATGAGATTGGAGAGATCCTGAGAGAAACAAACTCAACTTTTACATATGGAAACCGGGTCACAAAGAAATCAGGGAGTTGTGGGAAGACATAGGGCTCATTAAGAGCTAACTAGAAGCAAGGGCCCCAGACCGGAGGCCCAGCATTGCTCCCCATTGCTTCTAGTCTAGCCATATCTGGTTTACTTTACAGATTATAGGGTACTTACATGCTGATTAATTTTCTATTTTCAACCTCTGTGACTGTAAATGAGATTAGAATGTTTGTATGATGGGAAATTCAATGGTGCATCATGTGATAGCAAGAAAAGAAATGTGCTTATGATAAAATCCTCTCGGACACAAATAACTCAGCAAGCTGTTGAGGAAGGCCAGGTCCGCACACATGGCGATGTTATTATTAGCCAAGGCTCCAGCTATGTTCGCATTTCCAGTAAGGGGAGAGGAAAGAAGACTCTAAATTCTTCAAGAAAGATTTACCTAGCGCATAACCTTTCACTCAGAAACTGAGTTCTTTCCCGCCTCAATACAAAAATATCTATTTTTGTGAAATGATCTTTCCAGAAACATGTCTTATCAAAGAATATTGTAGCACTTTCTGACATAAAAAAAATGCTTTGGTAGAATCATCACAGGCTTTTTGAATAGAAAAAAACCCCACACAACAACAACAACATCAAAATTTCTTACATTTAAAACCTAGTACTTATTTTCAGAAATTATTATTGTTGTTGATGTTATTTCATCCTCTTTTCCCCAGAAGGGTCATATGAAAGTCATTCAAAAATTTCAGAGAGATCGAACAGGTGTCAGATTGTGGCAGCCCACTTCGGTCTGAAGGTTGAGTGGGCTATTGCTTGGATGGACACAGATGGGGAGGGGGAGGGGCAGAGGAGGGAAATGGAAGGGGGAGGGGAGGGGAGAGGGGAAGGGGAGGGAGATGGGAGGGGGAGGGGAGGGGAGGGGAGGGAAGAGCCAGCTTACTCTGAACTGCTTTAGTGCTAGAAACTCAGCCAGCTTTGCATGACTCAGCTGATCCTGCCTCCGGCCTTCGCCATGGAAGCCACATGTGCGAGTATACATTTCTAAGGATGGTACGATTACTACCTAATATCACTCAGGTGCTTGCCACATGCCAAACCCCAGGCCGAGCCCCTCCTCCTGCCAACAGCTCTGAAAGCAGGCCCCATTGTTGTTCCCCTCTGGGGGCGGGGGGATCTGACCTTAGATAGGTGAGGTAACTTGCCCACAGCCCACAGATGGCGAAGTTAAGGTTCAGGCCCAGACGGTCTGATTCTCGGAGAATACTGGATGTCAAATGGCATAGCCTTGAAATGGTAGCAATTTTGGTGGTTGTTTTCTCGATGTAAAGAGGAGTGATTGGATTAGGTAGCTACTGAATCTATCTGCCCCATCGATGGGACTTCCAGTTTGAAAAGTTTGAAGGTTACATTACTATAATGCTGCCTGCTGGAACAAAGGAACCCATGGAGCTCAATAAATACAATAAAAGTTTATTTCTTATGCATGTCAGAGGCCACTGAGGACACAGTCATTGAGGGACCCGGATTCTTTCTATCCTATAACTTGGGCCTCCTCTTGATCCTTGGAGTCCTCAGAGTTCGGAGGGTGGATGGGAAGAGAGTGGAAGGATGCACCAGAGGACGGGGCCTGTTCGCTCTCCATAGGCCCAAATTCAGGAGCATGGTGGCAGCTAACTGCGAAGGCGACTGAGAAGTGTGGTCTGGCAGAGAACAGGGGTATCGGGGGGCATTAGCAGCCTTTGCTTCAGGACCAGTATCTTTACTGGGCTCTCTATTTAATCCCTTCTCCACTGAAGATTTTGTAAAGGACATATAATCCACTTCTTTTAGAAACTGTGCTGTGTACTTACAGCCATTGTTTTGCACCCACCCCCCAGTATCCTGGAAACACCTTTTCTGATTTGCATTAGTTGTACCTTCAGCTTGCATGGAGAAATATAATGAGAATTAGCTGTATGAAATTCACTGCTGTATCTACTGAGAGGACTTTATTAAGGGAAGAAATTTCTCTCTGGTGTTGGCATCAGTAAATGCTATGCTTCTCTTGAATTAGTTTTTTAAAATCTTATAAATACTCTGAATCTTATAATATATCACCTATTCCACTTTGCTGAGGCCACCAACAAGCTCAGATCCAAAGCTGACACCCTTTTCCAGACACTGAGCAGGGACTTGACAATGTTTATTTCTGTGTACAAAGTTCACCCATCTTTACTATTTTCCTATCAAAAACAAAACCATTTTCCCTTCACCCTAATTGTTCCTATTGTTTATTTTACAATTTGTGTTTTATATATAGAGAGAGAACCTTGTGGGACAAGATGGGTAAATTACATGAATTTCATCATATTTGCAAAGTGGAATCTGTGCTAAATTTCAGCTTAGTTATGGGGGTTATTCAGAAAAACAAACATGACAGATACTCCCCAGCTGTCAGGCTGCCTCAGTGCACAGGAAACCCTCCAAACAGCTGCCCCTCCAGGCTGATCTCAGAACAATGGCATTCTGGGTGCTGTCCCCACAAAGTCTCAGAGGTGGGAAGTGCTGGGTGTAGAACGTGTGACCAGACTGCTCTCCCAGGGCCTCTACTTAATGAGGAGCTGTGGGAATAGTTTAGGAATTAACCATGTGCTTGCACTGCAAACCTACAGGGGCTAATTAGCTGAGCGACCTTGAGCAGGCACTTAACCTCTCTGGGCTACTCCTGTCTTTTCTTTGTGAAAGAAAAGGGATTGGACCATTGAATTGGATAATCTCTAAAGCCTTTTCTAGCACAATAAATGTGTGAATTCTTCATAAAGTTAAAATAATTATAATTTCAAAAATTCCTCCAAGCGTTTTAGAAATAAATGAGTACATCTAGAAAAAAAGGGCTAGAAGGCAGCTCCCAAACGGCGAAGCACGTGGGTAGTAAAGGCACTCAGAAACCATCACGGGGAAAAGTAGCTGCTTTTCTTCACTCTGTGAACAACAGGAGTCTCCGTTCCACTACACAG